ATAATAAACAAAATCAATAAAAGTAGGTTGCTATTTCTTGCTAATAACCCTTGAAGGAAAAAGAAAGAACGCACCCGTCATGACATACTCAGGGGCAGCATAACCATATGTACCCATCACACGAGTCGACACGTGGGTCTTATCGCCTTCCGGACCGTCTTTCGCAAGTCCAAAATCGGAAAGTTTTGCATTATAGTCCTGAAAATAAGTCATGACAGTCACAATAAGACTATTGTTGTACTGTGTTTGGTGTGCATTAGACTGATACTGATAATACTGTGTGCCTGATGTCAATGGGACAAAAACTGCAAATTTTTGTTTTCTATCTCACTCCCACCTAAAAAGGTGGGCTTTTTTTGTCTTTTTGTCCCCCGCCCAAAAAGGTGGTGGGACAACAACTCTAGATTCCTACAAATTCATTGTCAGTACAAGTGCAAAAAGACATAAATGCCCTCCTCATCCTCGCTAGAATACTAATGTCAATGGAACAAAATCAAAAAAGGTGGATTTTTGTCTTGTCACATCCAAAAAGGTGACTTATGTCATAACAATTTCTTGTCTGTGCAAGAAGACGTAAATGTCCTTCTCATCCTTGTTATAGAAATTAATCATAAAAGGTGTAGTTAGGAATTTAAAGAGCCACAAACCGCATCGAGTAAAATATTTGATGTTTTAAAATCACGATAAATAACGGGTCTTTCTGCTTCCTCGTGAAGAAAAGCAAGACCCTTTGCAGCACCAAGTGCGATTTTCATCCTCATTGCCCATGGAAGTGGCAACGACCCTATAAAATTCAAGAAAATGTTTAAGACTTTCTATTAATAGAAAGAACTACAACATAGAATAATAAAAAACAACATACTTCTGAACAAATGATTTTCCAAGCTTCCACGTGGCATAAACTCATAAACAAGCAGCCTTTGGTCATCCTCAATGCAATAACCAATTAATTTAACCAAATTTGGATGTAGGAGGTCTCCAAGAAAGTTAACTTCCGCCTATCACAACCCAAAAAAGAATATACAAAAAAAAGTCAACCATGTTATCATTAAATAACATGCAGCACATAGTTTCATATCAATTTGTAATAATACTTTAGGGATAATCACAAAAATGACCATCATATGCTTCTTTATATTTAACAATTTGATCAATATTTTGAACATTTAACAAAATGACCACAAATTTCACAATTGGTTAGTTGTGAATTCCAAATTGCTTTATGAACCTACCCCCCATGGAAAACCTTATACAAAGAGTAAATTACAAATTTGGTCCATGTACTTTATTCAATTTGCAAGTTTGGTTCACGATGTTATCTTTAAGTTTGCATGCTGTTGTGGATTTGGTCCTTGCGCTTTACTCAAACTCACAAGTTTGGTCCAGTTTAAGACTTGCATTTCATTGTAAGAGACTAAATTCACCATGAAATGCAAACTTAAAGACAACTTCGGGAAGATTTCAAAAATTGGACCAAATTTGCAAATGAGTGACCAAATTTGTAATTTACTCGTAAAAAAATTTATATCTAGCAATTTTATTACCTGTTCATATTTTGCGAATTAATGATGTCATTGCGCAAAAAAAAAATTGCAATCTTTTGTCAGCATTTATTAAAAAGTAAATTTTCTAACTTTTTGGACTCACCAAGTCGACCCATTGTGAAATAAAGGGTAAAAAAGTGGTCAATTTATTAAAACGAGACCACCAATTTTGTTCATTTTTGTTATTAATTATCCCTATATTTCATCTCCAAAGGGTCAAACAGGAAAAACCCATAAACTTAACGGGTCAAACCGACCCATTTGACCCAAACCCATTTTGATCCATTTCTCCACCTCTACTTTCCATAAGCTAACAATATAATTTAAAAAGTAGGGTTAGAATTACATACGAGCCATTCTTTGTGACCTTGTAGACCATCATGGTTAAGGGTCTTGACCGCTACGGTCAAACCGGTGCCCGGTTTGACCGGAGCAGTTCCATTCTCATTGATCCATCCTTTAAAAACACAACCAAATCCACCCTCACCAAGTAAACTCTCAGGCCTAAAATTCCTTGTTGCAGATTTAAGTTCACTGAAATTAAACTTTCTAAGTTGAGAAGCAATTTTAAGTTCTTCTGTTATGTTCAAAGTCGATGTATTGCTTTCCTCATTGCTAGTTGTTGAAGATGATGCACATGGAACAACCGGTTGATCTGTACTTGTGTCATTTGTTGATTTACTTTCCGCTGTTTCACATTAAAAAAATAAATAAATAAATAAATAAGAATTCAATCGGTTATTTCCACTTACATGTATGCCATATTCAAAAAGAAGAAGAAGAATCATGCAATTATTTAAGAGTTTAATATATGCAACATACATACGCTTTTTTTTACCAATAGAATCAATATATTGCTATTATTGGTAAGAAATATAAGCATGTTGCTATGATAGGTAAGGAATTGTAAATTCCTTCTTATTATGTGTAAAGAAACCTACGTATGTTGCTATTATAGCTTTACATAGTGTTGTTATAGGTATACAAAATACAAGTATGTTAATATTATAAATAAAGAAGTGCAAGTATTTTGGTATTATGAGTAAAAACATAAAGCGCATTGTCTAAATTGGAAAAAAGAGTAAAGTAAGTTGCTATTATAGGCAAGGAATAGTAAATTAGTGTGTTGGTTGTTATTATGTGTAAAGAAATGTAAGTATTTGTTACTATGGGATTACATGTGAACGATAAAAAAAATGTGAGAAAAAAAAAAGTACATTATAGTAAAAGAGTAAAATTTGTTGCTATTTCGTGTAGTTTTTTTTTTACCGATTTTTGAAAATACTAGAACTCGTGTGGAAAACATGTTACTATTTCTTTTTATTGTCGTAGGGAACATGATATGTTTGTTAGTAATACGTTTTGAAATGGTCAAAGAAACAATCGAAACATGAAACATGTGTTTCTACTTAAAAAAGAAACCAAAATACGCGTCAAAATCAAACAAAATTCAAAAGTGAGAAGCAATCTTTCCTTTTTGGTCATACCACAATAGAGACACTTTCCCTTTAATTTTGTTCCCCATCGAGAAATGTATTTCTATTTTTGGGCACTAAGCCATTTTGAAAGTGGTTATGTGATATTGAATAATCGGATATGATTAAAAACATCAATGGTGATAGTGTATGGATATGCTTTTGCTACTTGAAGGTGTAAGAATCACTTTTGATGGTGTTCTTATTTTTAATTTTAAATACTATATAAGTGATTTGATCTACCATTTGACACTCTCTTTTGTTGCAACTAGTACCAAAACATTCATTTTGACCCTTGAAAAAATCATATAACACCAACTTAAAATTTCATTTTAACAAATAAAAACTTCAAAAATGGAAACCATCGAAATTTGAAAGATACCATTAACATAACCACATATGCACAATAAGAGTATAAGACTATATCCACAAGGAATTAAAGCTAACAAAGATTCAATTATGCAAATATTTAGTACAAAATAATAATATGTTTATCCAAATCTACATATTGAAAAGAGTTTACAAACTTAAAATTGCATTTTAATGAATGAAAACTTCAAAAGAAGGAGAGTACGAAAGACAATCTACCTAGAAGCAAATGCAAGATTTCATTAACATAAACACAAATACACCACAACGACAAGAAATTAAAGCTAACAAAGATTCAATTATGCAAATATTCAGCAATGAATTAAATTACTGAATTTGAGTCTTGAAAAATTACCATATTGAGTGCTACTGCCGCTAATAGAGCTCTCAACTTTAGACCTTGAAGATATGCATCTTCCAAAGAATCTGAACTTAATCCAACACCCTGTTTCAGTAACCTCGTCTTCTTTCTTCTTGCTTTCCTTCAATTTATCCACATTCAAAACCCTAGTTTTAATAGAATCAGGACCCACCCCCATTTTTTCTTCAAAAACCCTAGATTTCAATTTCTCAACCACAAACCCCTTTAAATAATTAAAAAAAAAGAATCACAACCCATCATGAGCTAAACCACACTCCCTATACACCCCCAATTCAAACACTCTAAGCTCATCAAGATTCAAAGCATCAAGCTTTTCCATTATCCTCAAAAGGGTGTGTTCTTGAAAAACGGTAAAGCACAAAGGAAGTGAACCCCAGATCAGAAATCGGGTCGAATTTTTAAAAATGGGGTGAGGAGCGATTTACCCAGATCATAAAATGACATGCAAAGACAATGGCGCCGAGAAATACGAGAGATTCATGGACGAAAAACTTTCAAGAACCCTAATTTCAAGAAACCACAGGGGCAAACAGTTGAGAGTCAAAAATGTAGTCCGGATATTCCCACACCCACACACACTCACACACACACACTATTTTTTTCTTGATAGAGACAGGGCGAAAGGGAAGAGGGGGTAAGACATAAAAGATATAGAATTTAGATATGTAGATATGAGTATATGTGGTAAAGAAAAAGTTTTTTTCTCAAGAAAAGAGGAGACGACAGGGCCAGTTATCGAGGCCAAGTAAGAAAAACAAGATGAGAGAGACGAAAGGAGGGTATTTGTGTCGCTCTGTGCGTTTCGCGTGAAAAGCAAAGCAAGGAAGAGGGAGAATAACATGTAAATGTATGGTGGCTAGAATATAATATTACTCTATTTAGGTGTAAAATTAAGTCTATACATGTTTGAAATTACATCTTAGGATATAATTTTTTTTATTCTAAAATAAATATGCTTATTATTTAAAATTTAGCTTACAACAAAAAAAAATTATTCTTCGTATAAGTTTTTAGTTTTTACGGGTAAGTTCGTAGCAAATCAAATTTATATTATACGACCAAATCATATAACTTAATTATCGGTGGTTAATGAAATTTTTTTACAACTCCACTATATATAATATGGAAAAATAACATTATAGCACAATAAACTTTTGGTTTTGTCCCGAAATGATCATTAAAATAATTTTTTTATGTAACAGGTCAATCAAGTTACAAAATTGATGTCAATTACACCAATTTTAGCGGTGCAAGCTCCTCAATGTCAATACTACTCACACTTTGCCAAGCAGCTTTACGCCTGTTCACCACGGGAATAATCAATTCTTTGTTATCCTCCACGAACTCCTCCTCCTCAACTCTCTTCCTAAAAGACTCCACAGCTCCATCCATACCAACAGGATCAGTCGAAGTAGATCGAGAAGGCTGCACCACAGCCCTTCACCGCTTAGCATTCTGAACAACCACAACCCGGGAAATAAACACTTCATTCTGAAGAGCAAAAGACAGTAACACCCTATCAATAAGATCCACCTCACGAAACCGGAGACTACCAACCCATTTCTTAGCCAACACGTTGAGAAATCAACCCTTTTCTCCATACCTGCAAGAAGTAGGTCCATTAAAAAAAGGAGTGAAGAAGAGGAGAAAGAGAAGGAGATAGAAAAACACTAAATAAGAATAGCCAAATACCTTTCACCATGACATAAAACTCTGGCATCTAGCTACAGAGTCGCCACCAAGTACTCATCCCGGCACCAGCAAGTACATACCCCAAAAAATCATCAGTCACCACTTGAGAAGATTACAAAACCCTAGCTATTTGTTCCTTATCAGAGTAAAGACTCGCCCAGTTCTTCAGAGAATTCTTCTGGTCCACCACAATAACATGATTGTGTTTCCAAACGGCGAACGTATAACTCTCACCGGAAGAAGCAGCGACAAAACAGAAAAAATGGTGGAAGACCCGCATGTCGGGGTTGATTCCATGAGCCCGACAAAGAATCTCGAATGCAACCACCTTGTTTACTCCATTAGGAACCAACTGATTGATGTGAACCTTATGATGATGAAGAACTTCTCAGAAGAAATTGAACATCGGAAGAAAGTACCCGGCATCGAAGTGTTTTACATAAATGGGAACCTTGCCCTCTGATGTATTGATGAAGTTTGCACACTCCCCAGGAAAGGTCACACCATCTTCCGGGTGAAAGCTGTATTTCTCCCGGAGAGCAGCAAACTGATCGGGGGTAGGAGCAACGTTGATCTGAGAATCCATGACAAAACAAAAAGTAGATGTAGAGAGAGAACAAGAGAAATAATGGGAGAAAGAACAAGAACGAGGAAAGATGAAGAGGCAAAGCCTATAAAAACATAGAAGGGCAGGAAATTCGAAAACCCTAATGATGGTGGCTGATGCCACGGCTGGAAACCGCTGCAACGTGCATCCGAAAAGACAGCGACCAAGCATAGCGGGACACGTCACTTAAGACTAGTCACATCCGTTGCAACTAAGCACGCCTACATCGCTACAAATAAGACTAGGGAGACTTGATATCGCGCCTCCCAGGCACACCATAAATACCAAGGGCGCAAGCTGCATTGCCAAGCCCGCCACCTTCCCAACACTTAGTCCAGCCCGGATCGGGACATCCCTCGATGAACGGAATCCGGCCTGGCACATATGCGGGAAAGTCAACAGACGACAAACCGTCACCTGCTAACTCCAGTACAGGTGCACACATAATTATCATGGCTAAGCCAATCACGGCTTAGACAGGGGACAAATGTATGATCCGCCAATCAGCGTCTCTTTCCCGATCAGTTTGACAGCCCGTTATTTTCAAACTTGTAAAAGTCAACCAATGGTCAAATGATTAGAAACAAGTTGATTAAATAAAATTTTATAGCTAGTTATGGGTATTTAGTCTTAGCATAAAAGGATTTTAAATCAAAAAGTCAATTATATTAGAAACCGAGAAAATCTCGCAACTTCTAAGCCTTCGGACCGAAAACCCTCGCAAATGCCACTTGCTCGGACCGCAAACCCTTTCGGCCGCAAACTCCCTCCTGACCGCAACGTGTTCATCATACCTTTTGGAAATCATTATCCAATCTCCTTAACTTCAACCGAAAACACCTTGATATTCTTGGTTTCACCAAGAACACCACTTGAATCATCAAGTGACCGAAAACGCATAGGGGGCCGAAAACACCTATCACCCTTACGGTTCAATTCTAATACTCCTATTTGTAAGTGATTCTTACATTTTAGGATATTCCATAACATATTTACCACTATTTTCACTAATTATATGTATATATTGCGTGAAATGCTATTAGGATTCGGTTATTATTGCGAGTTGTAACTTGTAGAATTAACTCTACTATACCGTATCTTCATTCGAACACTCACATAAGGTGAGTTCATACCCCTATGTTTTACCATTTTCAAATGCTTTAAGGGGGAGAATACAAGTCAAACACAAAGTATTTGTGTTAATACTTAAATACGGTTACAAATCATTTCAAGATATTTAATGTTTTTATAAACTTATCAAACATTTTAAACTGCTTTTCAACTACTTAAGCTATTATTTTTATCAAACTATATATATATATATATATATATATATATATATATATATATAATTATGATTTAACAGGCTTAGTACCAGTGTCCCTGTCTTAAATCTTGTTCCTTGTTTGGTTGTGGGCTTACGATAGGAATGTTGGTCCGACGGTCTTTTAAATTACAATTATATATGCAACATATATATATATATATATATATATATATATATATATAAATATAAAACTTATTTCAATAACAATTACTAACCCTTTTGTAACATGTCGAGCAAAAGGGGTATATTTCCTTGAATCATTTCAATACAAACATAACAACATGTAAACTATAATAGGTATAGTTTGAAATCAATTCACACTATTTTCTAAGTCCAAAGGTACATTACTTGAATCATTACATAAGCATACATTACTTTTCACTACAAATATACTATTCATTTACAAGAACAAGAAAACAAACACACACTATACGTAAACAAGTTAATACTACAATGTGAGCCACTACTTCATGGTACCTACTAGAGTACATGCTAAAAGTCCTATTTTATAACCAGAGTCTCCTGGAGGGAGAGCGTGAATTTGTGTATAGATCTCTACTGGACTGACAATCGCGCATTTCGACTGTTAACTACAGTTGGACCGACAGGTCTAGGGGTGACAAATGTCATAACATTCCGACGCCTGAAGAACGTCGTGTAGGCCACTAGTCAGTTCAGTATGGTTATAATCTCACTCACATTAAACATTAATTAAACGTTTTGGTTTACAAAACAAACATTACTTCAGTGGTTTTATTTTAAATAATAGAACTACCTATCATTATTTTCCAGTACTAATACACAACAGAGTTCATACAAGTACAATACATTATTTTCTAGTAAAGAAAACATACATTTAATGGAAAGCATACACTTATACTACTTCAGAGTACAATAACATACAAACATTTTGGTCTTAAGGCCTAAGGCTACATTTCATTTATTATAGAAAATATTGGATTTTCTGGAGAAACACACTAACATTTTCATGAAACAAAGTCATATTTCTAATACTAAATGCTTATGAACTCACCAACTTAAATGTTGATACTCTCTTTTCAAAATAACTTGTATTCTTAGGGAAACAGTAGACAGGTACACTCAAACAGGTTTTTGAGAAGACGAAGCTTATTCAAGACTTGTCTTTTATTTTTGCTATACATTTTGGTGTCATACAATCAATACTAAGAACACCAATGTAATAACTATATTTTCAATACTATGGATGTTGTTGCTTGTTTTACTATTACTCATTGTTATGATACTGTACATGACGTCCTCCGCCCCCAAACGTTTTCGCCGTTCCGGTTTGGGGGTGTGATAATCAGGGTCTGACATCCTTATCCCTATGAGTGGGGTCCGTTCCCAGGTACTCACTATAAAAGGACACGCGCCTCCAATGGTAAGGGGATCGGAACCCTAACTCTCTAAAATTACCACCAAACATTCCATCCCTTCTCTGAGGAACTAACTTGATCGTCGGAGCGCTCTCCCGGGACCTCCTCTTGGAGAACGGCTGACGGCCTTGTTCTTTGTTGTGATTGTAGATCTCCACCAAAATCCTCCTAAGCAAACCAGTCAAATCTTCCCGGAGGTCCAATATCACATCACCAACAAAAAATAAATTAGAAAAATAATTAACTAAAAGAAATTAATAATCCAATAAAATAATATTTATTAATATATAATACTCCAATAAAAAATTGGATAAAAAAAGGAGTTAATTTTTTTTAACTAAAGTGATTAATAATCTAATAAAATAATATTTATTAATATATAAATATTATATATTAAAAATAATATGTATTAATATATAATTCAATAAAATTTAAAAGATGGTATGCAAAAATGGTTATTGTAGTTTGGTAAAAAGACAAGACTACAAAATGGTCACTGAGTGTAAAATTGTCATTTAAAAAAAATGAACAATCAACCAGTTAAAGTTAACAGAATATGGACCAAAACCACAAAGTCATCGAACTACCTTTCTCTACTCATTTTGGAGTTTAATGATCTCTGCTTGGTCACTATTTCATAGCAGAGGTACTTGGTTCTTTTAACCAATCTTGGAAACTGACGACGTCTTGGGTACATACAAACCCAACGTATGGCTCCTTTTCTAAGCCACAATGAAATGATGGTGAATTCGTTTACGAATTCTAGTATGAAACTTTGAATTGACAGGAAACATTTTTCAGTTTCGCTATGTCATTAACTAGTTAGGTGTCCTTAGAAGCATTTTGTTGAATGTTGTCTTTAAGCCCCATTGTATCTTCTAGTTGTGAATTCGTTATGTATTGTGTTTCTACCCGACATAGTTCTTCCCATAAGACTTAAATCAACTGATACTACGATCCACTCATCTCTTACTCAAATCGGAGTTTTGAGATTTTTGCATGGTCATTTATATATTTCAATGGTGAACTTTGATCTTTTGTTGGATAAACCTTTCCAAAGTTACTTGAATTCGATTACATTGATCAATCAAAGGTTTTTGTTCATATCACTACACTTATTTTGAGTTGTAAATACGTTCGGAAACGACACTATCCATTTAGCCCATGAAAAGAACCCTTCGTAACTTCTTAACAATGTGATGATTGTAATTCAACAGGAAACAATGCAAACACTTCTTAGTCTCTCTTGACTGTGAAGAAAGAGAATTTTTGTCCGGGATTATACTACTTTCATATCAAATACTTTTGGTATCACAAAATTTCTATTTTTTGTTATTCTCGATTCTATCTCATTCTTTGGAACACTTTTGCACTAGAATCCTCGAGGTTACGAGTAATACCAACTTGTGCCAATATTCTACAAAGTCTGGTTTATGATTCTATTCACAATTCCCATGATTATATGAACTCTTATTTAGATTTGTTTAGTTCCAAGTAACTTAACTTTCAAAGACAATCCTGGTCGTAATTCCAATGGATTCTATTTCAATTTATGCAAAATTGAAGGGTGGATCAGTGATTACGAAACGACTGCAAACTGAAATGGTATGTTTCAATATTTGAAAATTCAAATTTTCATCAATGGTGCATATTTTAAGGGGTTGTGATGTGTCACACCCCCAAATCAGACGGCGGAAATGTCCGGGGATGGATGACTTCATTTGTAGTATCACAACACATGTAATATAGTAATCAGAGTACAAACAACCATTGTATATAAAAAGTATAAGTATTTACATGTGTTTCATCATTGTATATTGAAACCAAATAGTTATACAAAAGAAGAAGACAAGACTCAAAATAGCTCCATATTCTCAAAAGCTTGGGGAGTACCTGTCTACCGATTCCCTGAGAATACAAGTAATTTGAAAAGAGAGTATCAACATAAAGTTGAGTGAGTGCATAAGTATTTATGTTTGAAAGTATGTTTCCGTTTCTTGAATATGTAAATTGTTCCAGAAAATCCTATATTTTCTGCTGTATATGTAAAGTAGTTTTAATCTCATAAAACCGTTCTGTTTGTAAAACCAATGTTTTGTATTTGTATTCCTTTATGTAAAACTTGTAACTGTGAGTGTGCCTGGTTCCACCAGCTGTTATTGTAAACCGAAATGTAATCCTGTTAATGTATCTTGTAAACTAGTACTTTGAAAATGTACTTATGTTTAGTTAATTATACATTACCGTATTGTTAATATCTTTTTAATGAGTTATTATAACCATACTGAATAGATGGCCTGACCCAACGCTATGAGTGCGCTGAAAGCTGATGATAACAAATGTCACTCGTAGGCGTATACACACATTGTTTCGATCTCCGGCTGGAGATTCTGGTTATAATGTCAGGACTTTAACTATATTGTTTAAATAAATTAAACAACCTGTATCAAATGACTCATAAAAAGCGTATAAACGTTACATGTATAATAGTTATGAAAACCCAATCATTCTGAAATAAATGATTGACAGTATGTTCTTGAATTAGTATTCTTAATATGTATATGAAAGATGTATACTCTTGATTAGTTTTGAATCAAACCTTTGTTCTTGTAAAACAATGTACTTTATTATACTTGAATCGTGAATTAATGTTATGTGAATCATAAATTATACCTATTATAATTTATATGTACTTTATGAATTGATACTGAGTATTCATGAATGCAACCC